TGACCATTAACAAGGAAAGAACAAATTATCCTCTACAGGAGTTAACTCACTAAGGACATCTGGTGAATAAAAACATAATTTTTAAAAATGTTGTGGAGGAACATTTGTGTTGAGATAATTAGGTGCGATTGGAGTTAAAATGGAGCGAAGCCCCCAATATTGCCAGCTGACAATCATGCATCCTGCTAGATACCCAGGGCTGTTGGCCTGGGACCGAAATGAATGTGTCACAAGTGGCGCGGGAGGCCTTTTTCAGTTCATTTAAAAACATGGAGTCGATCAGGTCTCATTTAAAAACATGGAGTTGATCATGCCAGCTCCCTTTCTGTTAGGAAAAAAAAAAAAAAGTACAGTGCATAATTGGTGCTTTCTACTCTGTTTTGATTTTAGGAAGGAAGTAATACTTAGATGTGGGCTTACTTTGCTTCTTACTTTTTTCACCCCCAGAACAATGCAGACTCCTTGGAATGCAGGGGGTGTGTGTGTGTGTGTGTGTGTGTGTGTGTGTGTAACAGGACGATAGGAAGTGTAGGGACCATTCATGGAAGAGGAAGGGGTTGTACCTTGGTAACATAGAACATGGAACTGTAATGCTCGGTCTATCCAAATCTACGGCTCCTTTTGGTGCCCAATTTATGCTGAGCTAAGAGGAAGAAATCAAGTGGTTGGATGTGGGTAAAGAATTCCAATTTCCTTTGAGCACCAGATTCTTTTTCTCCAGTTTTTATCTTTCTTTACTTACCCCTGGTCTCCAAACCATCCCTTTCCCCTTGCCCTCCTGATAAAAGTTTGTAAGTTAAAATGCTTTCTGAGGACTTGCTGACACCAGTCAGAAGTCCAAGAGTGGTCTGGCCTAAGTCTTCGTCGTGGGGCAGTTGGAAAGAGTGGCGTCGGCACAGGCTATTGAGATGACCCAGAGGGGGTGACGCAGTCCCTCAACATGCAAGCCTAAAGCTAAAAAGCAGTGGCCAAGCAGGACTTGCTGTGTCTTTTCAGGGCTCTGTTAACCTCTAGGAGCATGAAATCCAGACAGCTTTTTAAAAAACAAAATAGAGGGAAGGTAATGCTTAAAGGCAAAAATTCTTGCAGCTTGCAAATTGGGAAACACTACGGACTTCACATTAAATGCATAGTTTCCAAATCCAAATGTCAATACCCTCCCTTCTGTCTTTGTACACAGTACATTTAAGTGAAGACAATTAGTGAGGCACATAGGGAGAGGACACACCCCTCTCATTTTAGTCCCCAGGATGGCTTTTGCTTCCAAGAGTCACAACTGCTGCCTCCTCCCACCCCCAGCCTTGTCCATGTAGCAATGTAAATTTCCTGGCCCAGAGACCTAGACAAGAAGTCACAATGTTATACCTGCTATTTGTTGCACTTGCCACTTCAATAGCTAAGAAGGCAAAAGTGGCTGGAGATGACCACTCTGGCTAGAGATGAAACCATTTCCCGGGCAAGATTTAAGCAGGACTCTGCACCTGCTCTCCGTCAGGGGTGTCTCCCATTGCTGCTATGCCTGGAGCCAAACTCTGCCTCTCGTCCTCAATTTCCTGGTATCCCTTCTTCTTGAACTTCCGTGTGCCATAGATGGCCAGGGCGATGACAGCAGCCAGAACGGTGGTGACCCCCACTGTGACCCCAGCTGCCGCCCCCCCTGACAGACCCCCACTATCCCCATGGATGACATTCATGGCCCTGCGCAGCTCCAATGGCTCTCCCAGCCTCCACTGGTGGGTCTGGGGGTCTTTAATCCAGGATCTTGCACCCTCCGAACTGGTCACTATGACAGTGTTGGTGGCAGCCTGACTCATGAGGGGTGGCTGTGTGTAAGGCGGGAGCCTGGCAGGGGGCAGGGACCCTCCTGTAAAGAGCCCGGACTTGACGCAGTAGGATATTTGGCAGCCATCACTGATGAGGGCCAGGTGTTGGCTGAAGCCCCCGGGGCACTTTTTCAGAGAAGGTGCCCCTAAATCTCTGGACATGGCAGAATCCACCAAGGGGTTCCCAACTGTGCAGCTGAAGAACCCACCAAAGGGGACCGAAAACCTGTTTCCCAACTCATAGTCCTGAGAAGCACATACCTTGAGGTTTTCAAAGAGTCTCAGTGGAAAGTAGCCGGCTGGGCATGACTGCGCATTTGTCATGGGGTTTATGCTCTTACCGCTGAAGAGGCCCCCAAAAAGTAGTCCTGAGTTTTCGGGTACTTGGCCACTGGCTGCACACCAAAAAGCCCTAAATTCAGCCTTTGCCACCCGGAACACATCTTCACACACTGTCTTGCAGAAGATGAGGAGCGTACACTTCCGTTGACACTCCAGGTGGTTATACCCCTCCTCGTGGATCTGGGACAGCAGGTGAACTGGGGAATAGCCAGAGGGACAGGAGAAATCGCCAGTGAGTGGATTCTTCTGCTCCAAGTGTTGGCAGAGGAGGACATCCGCATTTCCTGAGCGCTGGGTACATTCCTGATAAACCCCACCGAAGGAGAAGTTGGTCATTTTCCCCTCGCAGGAGCCGTCATCAGTGTTGGCCTGAAAATTGAAGTTGGGCGAATTGAGATCTGTGCAGCCAGGGTAGGTGTTGAACGTGTAATAGCGTCTCACGGCGTTTTCCACCGTCTTGGACAGCTTCTTCACCAAGGGGCCCGGCAAGGCAGGCAGCATGTCAGGGTTGATGAAGAAATGCAGTGGCAGGCCCACACGGTCCACTGCCACCAGGTGGTTGGTGATGCCCTGCTGCCAGGCCTGGAGGGTGATGCCTGGGTAAAAAGGAACCCCTCCAAAGCTCTGCACCCTGGAGTTGGTTCGGTTTGAGAGGTAGCCCTTGATGAAGGCATTCTGCAAGGTGTAGTTCTCCTCAAATTTGAAGTTCACGACGTTTTGGAAGGCAACTCCAGCAGATGCAGTCACGGCACTGTGGCTGCTCTGGCTGTCCTGGAGAAAGGAGGCCCTGATGTGGTCCTCCTGGACAAGAGCAGCTCCAGCATCCACACTGGTGATGACGTGGGTGCCATAATTGAGGACCAGGAGTTCTGCCAGGTAGGTGGCCATCCTTGTCTGATTGTTCTCTAGACAGTCAGAGATGTCCATGAGCTCCTTCTTAAACCTCCAGCTTAGTTCTGAAGCTGGGTTGATTTTGGCTGTGTAGACCAGGTTTCTTACCTGAACTCTGGTAGTTACAGCTTGGTCCTTCACTTGAAGGGTCTTCATTCTCTGGAACTCGGAGGAGAACTTGCCGTTGACTTTGGAAAAAAGGGAGAGCTCTGTGTTGATGGAGTAGGAGGTGGTGCTCTGATAATTTACCCAGGATGCCAAGATTTCTGAGTTCATCTCCAGGTTGCTCTGTTTCTGGGGAATGGTGTAGATTTCATCAGGGATGATGTACTGCCCATCCTCTGTGGTCCTGCAGTTGGTGTAGGTCAAGTTCATCACCCGTCCCATGTCCACATTCCGCAGATTATCCCAGCCCCCTCCAGGTAGGACTTCCAAGACAGGTAGTTTCAAAGCATTCTTGCATTTTTGAAATCCAGCCTCAACTGTCTCTCCCAAAGGCTTGCCTGCTTTAGCCCACGCTGCCACTGCCCAGAAGAAGATGACAGTCCTGAAGCTGTTCATGGCTCAGACAGCCTCAGCCCCACACCAGCCCTGTGGTTGCACCAGCGGCTGGTGAGCTTGGTGCAGACTGAACAGATGGGAAAGAAAGCAGTTGCTGAAACAGTAAATTCAGCAGTTCTCCAAAAGTTACCAGTTCCTCTTTGGGCTAATCTCATTGCGAAATAGGGAAATGAGAGTTGGTTGGAATACTAAGGTCCATCATGACTTTGAAAAACTTATGCTGTGCTAGATATGCAAACACAACTCTATGTGCTTGACAGTTCACTACCCTAACTTCCCCCCAACCCCAGCTGGTTACTCTGAAGCTGTGGCGGACACTCGGAAAAAGTGTGACCCTGAACCTCACATCCTCCACTAAAAAGGTTTGGCTTTGCTTTTTGTTCACCCCCTTGGACATGACATGTTTTAAATTTTCACTGACTGCTCTCTCCTAAAACGCCAATACCAAACTCCAAAGGAAACTTCCAGTTTCCTTTTACTGGAAATGCAGAGGTGAATGGCAACATCAACCTTACCGAGACACTTTGCCCCTACAATAGCCATGCTAGCGGTAGGTCAAGGCCAGCCTTCAGGTTTCCCATTCGTCTGAGGGAGGTGGGGGCTGTTCCCACAGAAACAGTGAAAACCTAGGACACACATCCTGTGGAACTTCATTGTTATAAGCCCTAATAGTCCTGTCTTTGGAAATGGAATTTTCTGGAGCAGAGCTGAAGGGGCCAGAAGAGGATTCGGTTTGCCGTATAAGCTGGGAAACCTCGGTCTGCATTGTCCTAAACATTCAGAGTGAGGGTGAGGGGCCCCCACACTGTGTTGTTTCCTTTCAGATAGAAATGTTGAAGCAAGGACAAAACCACACTATAATCTAGATTTTGATTTATAAAAAGAAGACAGTGGCCAAGGAATATATGTGTATATGTATATACATTTATATGTTCTCTGTGTGTGCGAATTTTGCAGTAAGTTGGTGCCTGTTGTTATACCTTTAATTTTTCATTCTATTGCTAAGTCCATGTAATCAGTATAGGTGCATTTAAAAAAGAACATGGTTCTTCATTCCTTAATTTTTTAAAAAAGCAACAATTCATTTGTTATATCATTAGGAGAACATAATTTCATGAATTTCCTTTTATATGTTGATGCCAGCTGTATTAGATCCCACGATTTAGAGCAATGTTCCCAGGTCCATTGATCTAGTACCAGGATTGATTGGAGCCCAGCTCTGTTAATTCTTTGCAACAATTAGTCTGTGTCTTAGTACACTTAGTGGTAGCCAGGGAATCCAGAGGAATTACTGAAGCTCCCAACTGCACCCTCATGCCTCCCCAAATCAAATCATGAGCCAGATGCCATGCTGAGACTGAAAAAGTCATGTTTCGATTGACAGGTATCACTACACTGTCACCTGTATACACCCTGGAAAGAAGGTTCCAAGGAATTGAATTACATCAGATTGTCACTGACACAGCTGAAAAGTGTTTTTTTCGGAAGAATAAGGTCAGTTGCCTAGCTTCCCAGGCTAAGCTTCACTGGTGGTTATTAAAACCTGATGGTGTTCTCTAAGTCCAGAAATACCACACTCTGGGTCTATTCATGCCACAGTTTTCATGCTTTGGGGAACTGACACCATCCACCCAAGAGGGATTAATTTATGAACCAGTGTCCAATCTATATTTGGCTAACCAACCGAACCTTTGCACAGGATGTTCTGGGTAATTAATATATCTGTTAGTTATAAATTTATATCTTAGCAGAGTGATCCCAGAATTAGAAAAATTAGAGTGGAATGTCCTTGAGTACTTCCAATAAGCCTCCTGAAATATCTGCACATTGCTCTTCAAACTATGTCAGGTATGGTTCATCAGAATTAGAATACGCTCTCACTTGCATTGTTTTGGAGACACGCGGACAATTTCTTACTCTCTGTTTTCTCTTCGCAGAGACCTCACTCTCCTGAAATGAAAATATAAACAAGGTTAATATAGACAATTCTATATTCAGGTGTTCCTATATCTCTAAACACCCAGTCATTGTCTTTTTTTTTTTTTTTTTGCTACAGTCTTTCTCTTCTCTTCATTTTTATCATAGAAAAAATGAAAATAGCTAAAACAGCCAACAAGAGTGGAGTTATATTTTATGCTTATGACAAAATATTTTATAGCCATCACATTATTTCAATTTTAATAACATGAAAAATTCTTCTGCCATAATATTGTGAAAAAAAGCATGACATACATTCGGCATGACCCCAACTATATATGAATATATGTAACTAGAGGGATATATACCAACACGTTGACAGTAACTATATCTGGTTGGTAGGTTTTCTGAATTATTTTAATTTTTCCTTTAACTTTTCTGTGTTCTTTTGAGTTTTCCACAGTGAGGATACGTTTACTCATTTGAGAAATTTTTATTCAGAACCTACTAGGTACTAAACAACAATAGACACTGGGTAATCATCACTTTTGTACTCAGGAAAATAACCACAAAATATACATTAAAAAAACAAAAGAAACAAATTATTTCTGGAATTTTCATATGCCTGAAATAATCCAAAGCCTATGGACTCATGATTTCTGTGCTCAAGGAAGTTTTCTTTTCAACTGGGAGAACAATGAAACGAGAAGTGCAAGTGATGGGAATTTCAGCCTTACTTAAATCTGCATGCCCAGTGCAGGAAGAGCTGCTCTTAATGGTCTCAGGTGTGAGGAAGTGGTGACAAGAGTTTGCCCAGCGCATGTCACCCACACCTTTCCTGTTTTACTCTGTTCACCAGCAACTTCCTCTGCTTTTTCTTGTACTGAAATGCGTACGCCGTCGCATAAACCCTCCAGATGGCCACACTCGAGGAGTTAAGGGCCTGTGGTAAAAAAATTGAACTTTGGTCTCTAAAAGAAAGAGAGAACTCCTCCACGAAAGGTATGCATCTGCGTTGCCAAAGAGCGATTTCACTTCCCCCAAAAAGAGGAAAGAGGGAAGTCCCATGTCTGCTTTCTTTCTCCTTTTGAGCACGTGCAACCTTCTGACACCATCGCATGCTAAGCCAAACCGTGACTCACGTCTGAGATTCAGTTCTGTGTGGGCTTGGAACTAGTCCAGGTGTTTCCTACTTCTGCCTTGCACCTTCCGTCTGAAAGGAGGTGGAAAGTCTGTTTGCATTTGCCGGGACCATTCCCTTTCTTATTTTTAGCAGGAATCTAGGAGACCAGTCTGAAAACTGACAGTCAAATAATTGTTAAAAGGATCAGAGAACTAGGACTTTCATGGATTCTGGAATAAACTTTGTTCCAGAAACTCTAGAAGGCATCAGTGAACAAAGTGACAATATTTTCTTTTCTGAACAGTGATTCCTGACTGTTTTAAGAGTTGTTATGTCAGCTCCTTCCCCGCAGAGGCTGTTCTTCCCACCAGGATTGTGTGGGTACTGACCACAAATATAGAACACGGTGGTTTCAGGACTCTTTTTAATCTGGAAGGTAGAAACAGAAGGCCCCTGCGCAATTCTGCATATTTCCATTAAAAGCTGGGCCAGAATCTAGCAAACTAAGCCATCTGATTTCTTTCCTCTATTAGTACTCTTTTCCTTCCTCTCTTCCTCCCACATTCTCTGATCCTTTCTCCTCATGGGTTATTTCCTTTCTGCTCTTTTTTCTCTTTGGCATTTGCAAATTTAGATTTGGAGGACAAATGCCTGTGATTTAAGGTGGTACTGCCACTGGACGAAAGAGGAACTGGGCGTGGTGGCTCACACCGCAGTCCCAGCTATCCCGGAGGCTGAGGCTAGAGGACTGCTTGAGCCCGGGCCTGGGCAACGCAGCTCTATGCTGTCTCTAAAAAAAAGTAATTTAAAAAATTTAAAAATAAAGAAGAAGGACACCCCAATGTTGCAAAGACAGCCTTTTTAGGCTTTAAGCATCCATTCCCCTATTCCTCATCGCGGCAGACACCACTGAGCAGTCACACCCTTGATTTCCACTGAGCCCTGAGGACATTCCAGGATGTTCTAATGGAAACCTATACATCAATTCCCTAAATCAATACTCATTAAGCATCCGTTATTGATCAGACATCCATTGTAGGTGCCATTTTTGGCGTAGCCAATGTCAAATTTAATGCTACTTTAAGAGTCTAGGAGACAGAGTGAGCCCTCGGAGCCAGCCTCCCCCTCATCTACCCTCAAAGCTGAGCTGTGCAAGGACTGAGCAGTTAAGACCACCCATTTCCCCCTTCCCATCTGCCTTTGGGCTTCCTAATGACATCAGCCTAATAGGAAAAGTGTCTCTTGCATTCTCCTTTGGCTGAAAACAGTTTAGCATGAAGAGCTTTGCACGCAACGGGACTGGAAATACAGTGGAATTTCTCTTATGTCCCCATTTCTCAGTCCCCACATCTTTCCTTACTCTTTAAGGAAGATTTGAACAAAAGAAGTGATTGAGCTGCATTAGGTCTCTCTGGGTTAACTGCTGGCAGATTTCGTATTTCTGTATTTGTTTCATTATTGAGTAACATAAAACCAATCTAACAGCCGATGTTTCCCTCTTTTTTACCATGGGATCTTCTGATGGACTTTGAGCTCAACAAAGTAAAAATTAGCACCATTTTTCTTTCTACCTGAAATAACCAAGAATAGATTAAAGCAAAAACAAGCAAGTTAGGTGAGGTGGTTCTTCCATCACAGAATTATGTAGAGTTAAGAGCTTTGGGTCCTCTATTGAAATATTCCTATTGTCTCTTCTGTCTGTTGGTCATCGAAACATTCAATTAAGAGCATGGTCTGGGTTCTGCACCTATTCAGTCCCTAGACTTTGTTCTGCTTTGGCTACTTACCTCAACTACTAGACTGACAAATGTGAATGTGAACTAGAGGTTTCTGAGTTGAAATATAGGCGACATTCTGGCTCCAGATGTGACTCTGCAAGTTCTGGAGTCTCCCTAAGCCTTCATCTCCTCAACTGTGAAGCACAAACCACAGGAGCCACCTCTACACAGTGGTTTCCAAGTCAGGGATGGGCATCTGGCAGGCTTGGAGAAGCAGCAGTTAATCTGCAAGAAGAAAAAGTTTCAATATTTCCACAATCCCTCCATGTGGGGCATTTTTCTGAAAAGCTCCAATA